TCGTTGTGAAGATGATTATCATGATGGATGATAATGACTAATAGGGAAGATGGTGATGGATGATGTATAATAATGGTGTTGATGATTAGTGCTCAAAAAGGTAACTAGTGGTTCGTTTGAAAGTGACCAACCACAAAAGTGCTACGTTCCCGTGTTGGTTGTGGTAAGATGATGATGACGATGGTATTATGATAATGAGCATGCCTGTTTTTGTGAAACATACATGCACGATACACTATGAAGTGTAAATGATAAAGTAAAGATGAACATTACAAGATAGCGAGATAGATAGACACAGAGTAATCAGCCGARACGTCTCTTACTTTTAGCTCGTTTTGCTGCCAGTTTGATCTGATCAGCCTGACGATCGATACGACTTTCCAACACGTGTAGACGTCCAGGAATAAAGCTGTGGAAGTGCGCCWCGGTGATCCCTGCTGCGTCCTTAGCGAACTCGATTTTCACCAGATTTGCAGCAATTTGCCAGATGTCGTCGGTAGACGCGATGATAGCGACGCGCTTCCAGTGGAAATGTTCCATCAGACGTTTAAGGAGCTTCTCCATTTTAGTGTAAGGGCCTGAAAAACACCACGAGACAATCGAGTTAAATACGCAATAACAATACTACTTTTCCTTTTAATTTTGGAACGCTTTAACTTTTGTCAGCGTTTATTGTGGGTTTAACTTTTTGGATATAGAAAAAAGGAAAAGAGGAAGGAAGGAAGGAAGGAAGGAAGAAAGAAAGGAAGGATGAAAGGAAGGATGAAAGAAAAAGCAAAAATTAAGAAAGTCCCGCGAATAAAGAAAAAAATGAAGAAAGGAAGGAACGAAGGAATTGGGAAAGAGAAAGAAAGAACGGACTAAAATAAAGATACAGAGAAGTGAAGGAAGAGAAAGGAAAGCAATTGATGGTAACATTTATCGAGTTGAATGCGCATTGTCGGTAAGTGCGTTTCGTAATTTTTATCCCTTTTAATCAGTCTAATCAATCAAAACTAATGTGCTTTTTATTTGTTTAATTACCTATATGACGATAATAAAACCAATTTTTCTCACTCTCGMACTAGCTGCGTGTTCGACTCGTTTTTCACAAGTCATTTATGAACATTTCTATATATTGAATCATATTTCCAAAAATCTGCGTTCTTTTTTCAACTACTGGTGTCGACAAAATACATGTACAATGATTTCGGACTTAGATCCTCGGGTTGAGAAAGTTTTCTCTAAAACCGTAATGACGTTTTTTTTGGGAAGGACTATTGATCGTAATGATGTGATTATTGCTAATTGCAATTAACTCATCACAAGGCAAAAAAGTCAGTGTTTTTTTACTTAAAGAATTCTGGTTCTCAAGCGCAGCAAATTTACCCTGAAGCAGATGAATATTCGTACTCACAATAAATGAGCTTTATATAGCTAAATAGTTTCAAATTCTGAATCCATTTTTTTCGTTTTAAGGTAATAGGTATGTCGTTATATTTGAGTATGGACCCCCTAGATCAGCATTTCTGCTCTTGGGGTTATACGGTTTAGATTAAATATGCTTCAATAACAAAAAAATGAACCAAGATCAAAGGCCTTAAGAATTTTAACTTGGTGGGAAAAGAATTTAAAGTAGAATAAGTAAGTAGAATTCACAATACTCCTCAGAATTCGAATAATAGAATAATAGTGAAATCAGAAATCATATAAAAATACATCGGGAAAACTAAACCTCAACTCCATAACAGAACACTAAGAAATTCTTGTACAACAAACTCATGRATTTTTTTCTTTCGTCCTTCGGCTTTATGGTCAAAGATTCCGCGAACCAAGAAAAAAAAACTCAAACTCCGCGTGCCATTGTCTTCTCAAATGACTTTTAAAAGATTAGTGATTAAAGGTATTTTTTAGTCATAGAAAGGAAAAGAAGTATAAAGAAACAAAAATAAAATATACAGGCAAACACAACAATAAATAGGAGAGAGAAAAAAATAAGTAATTTAAAATCACAACTTGAAAAAGTAAAAACATTTTGAATAAAAAAAAAAAAAAAAAAATCGGAAAAAAGTCCTGACTTACCAACAGTCCTAGCAAAGGTAGGGAATGTAATTCGGTTGGATAGATGGCCAGACATACAGCCCCAAGACACAACGGGAAGGTTCCATTTTCCTGCCAGTAGGCTAATGTACTCACACACATGATTACAYCCACCACCGATAAACGCGTCCACGTTTCGCTTCTGTGCTGCCCAGAAGTTCATGACGATGGGTAGGGCAGTGAGAGAGGAACAGTTAGTGTTGCCGAACACAAACTGAAGATCATGGTTTGGTAGGAGGCTCGTATCGTTATTGATGTCTTCTACAGCGATAGGAATAGCTGCGGCAGTCGTRCGTCCAACGTCCCATTCACCTGTCATTGGCGCTAATGCAGCRATAGTGACGATCTCCTTGGCCGATGCTATCCAGCAATGCCAGAAACAGACCAAGAAAACAACAAATAAGAAAGATAAAATCGAGTTCATATTTTCTTCACAGAGCGATGTACTTTGTGCCACTACACAAAGAAGGGTCTTGTCTTTTTAAACTCGTTACTTTAGAGTCATCCATAAACCTTTGAAGTTCTCCGATAACGGTTGTCTAGGCAACCGATTACGTCACTGTTGGGTTTTTTAACGACATGAAAGTCGGCCCACCAAGCCCATCTTCGTAAAACCGGTCAAGCTGGTTTTTAATAAAGCTCTGCAAAGTTGCTGTATGACATTTTTGCTGTCTTGAGCATTTTTAAATCTGTTTTTCGAAAAAATGTTTAAAATTCTGATTTTTGAYTGAAGCCAATAGTTGGTGCAGTTTTAAAATTATACGGGTCCGAAATGAAAAAATTCCAAAGTTTTTACTTTTTTATGCTTTTCCTTTTCGACTCAAGTCATGTTTGTCTCAAATCGTAATTGTTTTATGTGGAGGTTAAATAATTTAAAAAAGCAATTGGACCGGAAAAATTCTATAGAGAAATTTTAAAGACACATAAGGAAGAAAGGAAGGAAGGAAAGAAGGAAGGAAAGTTCATCAGTACGACCTCTGTTCATCAATATTCGTTCCGACTCGTTTTCATTATAAGTGACCTTTGGGTGATTGTGAGTTTCAGGTCCAAGGGGAGGGGGGAGGAGGAGGGGAGAAGCGACCGGAGAAATTCCCCTCTCCTCTGCTCCCCTCCTCTTGCGCCTGAAACTCAGGTTAATGATATTTCAGCAACATCTATATAAAATAAAATATTTTAATTACAAGTCATTAAAAATATTACCAGAGTACTCATCATTCAGTGCCAGTTATCATATGACGAACTCAAAGTTTAATGAATTTGGTTTCTTTTATTTATGCTAAAGTTTCGGAAATTTCATAGACTGCGAGCTATTTTCCTTGGTCAATCTTCCTCGACCAATCGACACTATACAGACAGACGTACAGTGACCAAGGAAAATAGAGGTCTAGCGATTTCATTTCAATTTAGTTCATGAYTGCTCAGTGTACGAGTACCACTTATCTTTTATATCAGAAGATCGGCTCTGGAATTTAATTGAGCGGATAAATTTTTCTCCAAAATATCACCGACTTTTTGAGCTCACTTGAAACAAAACTTCCAAGTCTAGTCACATTTCGAGTATTTTGCGAAGAGAAAATGTTGATAGAAAAGCTCTCGAAATAAGACTTAACAGTTTTTCAWTTGGTTAAATGTCATTCGATTTGACAGATTTTAATTTCTAATGTCAACAAAGAGCGGGTAGTTTGACAGCTAATACAATACTCTAAAACAGATGTACTGACGACATGTGTGATATCACTTAGAACCGGCTCCTCTTGGTACATTTACATTGATTCGAACAACTRCGACAGAGAACTTGATGAAAAGATGTCCTCGTTCGGTAGCTAGTTCTCTAATGAACAGTCTTTTCGATGTATTTTAGAAAGAAAACATTGTTATGGTTCGCAGATGGGTTCTTTGTTGTGCATATTTAATGTTTACATTCGTCCATCTCCTGGATGGTCAGCTTGCAGGAGTCGAGCGAGCCAAGTCGACGATGTTCTCGTTCGACATCAAAAAGAAAGTAAAGCATCACAACCATTATAAAGGTAGTCAAAACAAACCTTTAAGACCTCCATATATCAAAGAAGAAGAGATGGAGTTCATACTTAGGGTAATTGTTTATATTTATGGAGTCTACATACACTGATTAACCGGTGTATTTACCGGTGTATTTGGTGGCCAATTTGTTTTAGTTACAAGGAACTAATWTAATTGATTTTATTTTCTATCTCACAGAGTACTTCATACGCATATGTAATTGAACTGGACGTAGGAAGCCCACCACAAAAGGTACTACGAAAGGTTACGATCAGGCGATGGCCTGATTTTTCTAGTAATCTAACTAATGTTAGGAATTCTATGGTTATGATTGACCAAGGTCAAGCTGACTGACTGGTTTTCTATTGTTCTAATGGCTGTTTTTCATTATGGAAGTAACCTTTGCGGTAAACAGTTTCTTGCCATGTCTATTTTGTTTCAAATAACAAAAACTACACAAAAACTAGCGGAATTTCTGAAAATAGGCGCTTATTTCTCCCCTTCTCATTTGCATGACTGACCGGCAATTCTGTTGGTACCAGCTGGTACGAATTAGGGAGCGAAAAAATTCAGTCTCACTGCACTTACAAAATTGAAATTTTCTTTCTTTTTTATTTGAAATTTTGTAGGAAAATATCTATCTTTGGTGTCAGAATTGTTTCTTAAAATGTTCTTACATAAAAACGCATTTATTGATTATTTTATCGTGAGGGCGGATCCAAGTATTATACGATAATAGAACTATAGAAACTGATTTTCTCCAGTACCTGTAAAAAATATTTTACAAATATTCTTATTCTTCGTTTTTTTTACGCAACTGTTATCCCGTTTTCGACTGTCATCAAGTATCTAAATGTAAATATGAATTTTTATTTTATCGTGTAAAACTGTTATGTTTCGCATCAGTTTCCCTGCTTGCAGAGGTCATTTTTGCCCTCCGTTCCACAGGTAGCCCAAGCTAGGTTTCTGTGGTGTCATATTATGAGAAAATGTATGCGATGCTTAAAAACCTCAAGAAAATCGTCGAACTGTGAAAAGTAGTACCTCTTTCGCCCTGTGTGGTGAGATTTTGGATCAAGCCAGTTTTAACGCTTYTTTTCTTCTACCTAACAACGTTAAAACTGGTTTAATCCACTTAGGGTGAAAGAGGTACTACTGTACTTTCACTAATAAAGAGCCGAGTAATAAAGGTCTAACCAAGACCAACCGTTTTGTAAAATTATTATTCACAATGAATTATTTTACTTTACAGCTTGAATTTCTGATTGACACAGGCTCATCCAACATGGCAATTGCAGGTAGTTAATTAGTTAATTTAATTAGGTTTTTTATATGACTGTAAAAAAAAAAAAAAATGAAAAGTTGCCAGGTGCTGGATGATAAAAAAACAAAAAACTAACAGTACTGACTGAGGGACTACTTTAACAGTCTAAGTGTGTTCCAGTATTCTGATGAAGAATATCCTTGGTGAGCAATAGGCAGTTTCAATAGTGCATGTAGTGCAAGGACACCAGTTCAGGGTGTTCTTAGGCTCATTATATTTCTGTGTGCACTACACGCACTTGAGTGTAGTCACTGCGGTGACTGCCAGCGGAAATCRCGCATGGACATGTTAACATTCCCGTGAGATATACTGTAGACATCCTTGGGGTTGCTTAGCTTCTTACTAGATACATGGCTTAAAATAATAGCCGCACATTGGACAATGTCCACCCAGAATTTGAACTCGTCTGGTCAAATGTTTGTCTTGCTGGTCATTTTGACTAGTAAAGTTAAGCCAGAAACAAGCTATGACCAAGCTAAGACTAATTTGGGCGGTCATCATGACTGGTGACTTATCAGCCATTAGATGAACAACATTATGTACTTACCGTAAACTAGACCAACTGCAACTATCCAATCCAGTCATAAGATGTACAGTATAAAATGCCATCAAAAGAAACGTATCTAGCGGACGCTCATTGTGTGTCAACCCTCTTCCTGAGCAGGATTTCCTGGAAAATGTCGAAAGCAGCATGCATCTATGAGGAATGTAAAATTGACATTTGCTTCTGAMACAAAATTTTCTAGCAATGCTTTGAATATTTCAAAACTAATGTATATGGCATTCAAAGTCAGAGTGCATACCATATATCCATAAAAAAAGCTAAATAACAAAATCACATAAATTAGTGCAAAGCTTTTTAGATCTATGGACTACTGAGGTCTACTGAACTTACTAATTTGCGCAAATTTKTTCCATTTTATTACAAAGTTTGTCATGGATATATGGTATGCACTCTAGCATATAAAATTTTGAAGATAGACTCTTCTAGAAAATATGCTTGCATATTTCAAAACAATCTAACATATGGCTTTCAACATAGGCAAATTAGCTTTAGCTTTATCTGGTTAATATTTTTGAAAAGTGGTTTTCTTACCTCTCAACAGGACCAAACTGTGAAGATGAGTACGGACGTAAATGCCAGATAGACACATTTTACTTCCCTAGCAAGTCGTCAACTGCTAAAAATCTTCATATACCAGTAAGCATGTATACATGTACATAATGATCCATTTTAGATTATTGGCTCCTATTCATTCTATAAACCCATGCAATTTATTATTCATACATAGCTAACTATTAACATCAGTACAWTTCACATTTCTATAAGAATAGGAGAGATTGGGGACTAGTTTCGTCGAGGGTATATGTGGAATGTGGAAACAGGAGAGGGAGAGAACGGAACCAGCAATAAACTAGAGAGCGTATATTGTTCAAATGATGTCATAGGCTTCAAGTTTTTGGGATGTTTTGTTTTTATTATTCTACCATTTCTTAATTTATTTTTATTTTTACCTTAATATTTTACCTTAAAGTCTCATCACAAGGACTGTAGAGCATAGTTTTGAGTGGAGGTCTAGTTTGGTTAGTGCGGGACAATTTATTCCCCTGTCCCCCTAAAACATTGGCAATTATAGAGGCTTTGAGGGGCAGTAAACTCATAATAGAAGATAAGTATTTGTTTACAGCCCCTGCATCAAGTCCTGTGCAGGCATGTTAATAGCTTGTTCTACCCCATCTGAGTAGGCAACAGTTGTCTCTGACTTTTGGGGTTTAGTTWAGCAGGTATTGTAAGAGTGATTTTACTTCATACCTGAAAAAAAGGAAAGCATTTTACAGAGTAGTAGACACTGATTCCATTATTTCCTCTTGTTTTACTTTACATATTTAGTCACTAATTTTACAACTTTGTTTCACAGTCCCAGTAAATCCCTATATATGTTTTCTATTAAATGCATTTGTCTGAATAGGAAAAACATTATGCAACTGGCCTCCATTCAAATGCATAATAATTCTTGCATACTCATGCAGGCCTCCATTCTTGAAAAAGCATAATAATTGTTGTCTACTCAGGTATAGGCCTCCATTCAAATGCATAGTAATTGTTGCCTACTCATGCAGGCCTCTATTCAAATGCATAATAATTGGTGCCTACTCATGCAGGCCTCTATWCAAATGCATAATAATTGKTGCCTACTCCTGCAGGCCTCYATWYAAATGCATAATAATTGTTGACTACTCAGGTAGGCCTCTATTCAAATGCATAATAATAATTGTTGCCTACTCAGGTAGGCCTCTATTCAAATGC